AGAGTGCCTGTAACATGTGTGAAGCACTGGGTTTGTTCCTTAGCACCACATTACAAAACAAAACAAAAATAAATAAATAGATAGATAGATAGATAAAAGTAAACGCATTCTGTCAAAAAAAAGATTTTATTGAAAAACTATCATTAAGAAAATAACATAGGGCTGGGGTTGTAGCTCAGTTGGTAGCCCATTTGCCTTGCATATGTGAGGCCCTGGGTTCGATCCTCAGCACCACATAAAGACAAATAAATAAAATAAAGGTATTGTGTTTGCCTACAACTAAAAAATTTAAAAAAAAAAAAAAAGAATAAAGCCTCAAACTACCCACATTGTTCCTCTAAAAATTGTTTCCATTTAGATCCTCACTAGTTGTAAGCCTTTTAACACCAGAAAGGTACAATTTTTTTAAAAAAGCTGTTTCTAAAACCAGGATAAAAATGCAGAGCCAATAAGTTTATTTCAAGACACTTCCAGCCCTGACATGTAATTCACATTCCAACCACAATTGCAAAGTAAAGTTATAAGTTGCAAAAATATCACTAGAGTTTGCTATATTTAAGATGAAAACACTAACTATAAGAAATTAACTTTCATTATTCTATCTTCATGGAATTGCATGTATTTCTAAGTAACATTGGAGATTTACTCTCAGCAATACCACTGAAGTACTAAATAATATGAAGATAATTTTTAAAGAGCAGAAAAAATAATTATTGCCTCTACTTCAAATAATATAACCTAACCCTATTCCCATTATGACTGTTGCAGACTTATATCATAACCTAAAAGGAACAACATCTGTCCCTCCATAAAAAAATATTAAAAATGTATAGTTGGGTGCGGTGGTACACACTTGCAATCCCACCTACTCAGGAGGCTGACACAGGAGGATCTCAAGTTCAGGGCCGGCCTGGACAACTCAGCCAGATCCTATCTCAAAATAAAAATATAAAAGGCTGGGGGACTGGGTATGTAGCTCAATGCTTACCTAATAATGTGAGGTAAATAAATAAAATAAAGGTATTGTGTCCAATTATAACTAAAAAATAAATATTTTTTCAAAAAAGTTTCAATCTCAGTAGTTTTCAATCTCCTTTCAGTTATCAGATATAATAATAGGACTGCATTCAAAATGAATAACACAACCTATACAGTTTGTTCTAGAAAGGAACATTCACAAATACAAATTTAAATGCAAATACAGAATGTGCTTCTAGAGGTTTCATTCCCCAGGGTTAGCCTACTGACAACTACTTCAAGATCTCTATACAACTGTAAAAAACTTAATCACTTAAGTTTAGTGGCCTTCTGTATTCCAAGCCTGCCAAACAGAATAACACCAAATCAATATGACAATAAAATAATGAGTTGGCATCTATCAATCAAATTAGGTTAAAAATGCCAGGCTTGATGACATTAATCCAGAGCTATTCTGGAAGTTGTAACCCCAGCTATGCAGAAAGCTAAGGCTGGAGGATTGCATGTTGAAGGACAGCTTAGGCAATTTAGGGAGATCCTGTCTCAAAATGAAAAAAGAAAGGGCTAGGGATGTAGTTCAGTGGTAGAGTACCCCTGGGTTCAATCCCCAGTAACACTCACAAAGATTATTGTATGAATGAATCAACAAATCAAGGCAAAAACTCCACTCCTAGTTAATGAAACATCAAGCTTCAGAGTTAAACACCAAAAGAATACTCAGAAGGCTAAAGGAAGGGAACTTCAAAATCAAAGTCAGCCTAAGGAACTTGGCAAAATCCTGGCTCAAAATAAAAATGTAAAAGGACAGGGGATATAGCTCTATGGTAGAGCACCCTGGGTTTAATTCTCAGTACCGAAGGAGGAGGAAGAGGAGGAGGAGGAGGCGAAACTTACACAAATTTTAAAATATTTTCAATTCCACAAACATTTGCAAGATGAACATGAATGAATTAATCATTAATCTCAATTTCTCTTATGTAGACAAGGGAGACAGAAAATACAACTGCACAGATGTGTTAACAACACCTTGTGATTGAAAGCTGTGAACTGGGGGGTTTTTATACTTCCTCCCAAGCCTGCTGTCAAGAATCCCCTGGGGGGCTGGGGCTATAGCTCAGCGGTAGAGTGCTTGCCTAGCACATGTGAGACCCTGGGTTCAATCCTCAGCACCACATACAACTGAATAAATAGAATAAATGTATTTAAAAAAATCATCTGGGACCGGGTGTGGTGGTGCATGACGACCGGGGAGACTGAGGCAGGAGGACTGCCACGTTGGAAGCCAGCCTCAGGAATCTAGCACAGCTCTACATAATTTGAGACACCATCTCAAAATTTAAATATTTCTTTAAAAAGGGCTAGAGATGGGGGCTAGGGTTGTGGCTCCATGGTAGAGTACTCGGCTAGTATGCATGAGGCCCTGAGTTTGAGCCTCAGCACCACATAAATATAAAGATATTGTGTCAACCTAAAACTCAAAAATAAATATTTAAAAAAAAAGGGTTGGAGATGTAGCTCAGTGGTTAAGCACCCATGGGTTCAATCCCCAGTACCAAAAAAGGAAAGGAAAAAAGAATACCCTAAGCACTGTTTCTATAAACAGCAAGAAAGACAATTTTAAATGCAATACAGCAAAAAATAATAGAACATTTATGTCATTAATTGGCAGCAGTTTGAATTTCTTCCAAGAAGATGGACATTTGTGTCCTTTATTTTATTTATTTATTCACTTTTTATGTAGTGCTGAGGATCAAACTCCATGAGGTAAGCGTTCTACCACTGATCTACAACCCTAGCCTTAATGTCATAAATTGGAAAACAAAGAAAGAAAACACTGACCCAAAGTGTAAAAATCTTGACTCCACACTTAATGACTACTTAAAACGGTGACTTTGGACAAATCACTAAACATCTCAGAAGCTTCATCTCTCATATCTACAAACCTGAGGGGTGATCTGGGAAAAAAAGAATAAACTATTCTCTTAAGATCTTTAAAATATAAATGCTGATAGAAAGCAAAAAAACTTAACATTGATGGTTTTCAATGTATGTAAATTAATAAACATGACAATTATAACAAAGCAGGGAGTGTAAAGCAAAATATATGGTGATATAGTTCCTACATTCCTCTTAAAGTGGTTTTATGAATTCTGAATAGATTATGAAACTTTAGGTAAGTATGTTGTTAACTTCTACAGCAACCACAAAAAAAAAAAAAAAACTAAACAAAGATTAATTAAAAACTCAGCATTAAAATGGAATAATAGGGGCTGGAGTTGTAGCTCAGTGGTAGAGTATGTGCCTAGCATGTGTGAGGCATTAGGTTCAATCCTCAGCACGGCATAAAAATAAATAAAATAAAAGTTATTGTGTCCATTCATGACTAAAAATATTTTTAAAAAAGGAATAATAAAATATACTCAAATAATATAAGGTAAAGAGAAACTTAAAAAAAACAAACCAAATAACAATAATCACATTAAGTGGAAATAATCTAAATATACCAATTAAAAGACAGTTGTCAGAATGGATGAAAAACAAGACCCGGCACACATACTACCTAAAACAAATACACTTTAAATATAGTGGTTGTAAACGTAAAAACAGTAAAAAGTAAAAGGCAACTCTATTCATAATCACCAAAAACTGCAAATAACACAAATCTTGGAGGGTGAACAGGTAAACAGTGGTACATCCATACAATGGAATGTTAGCGATAACAAGGTAAAACATAGTGAGTAAAGGAAGCACATTCCAAAAGTTACATATTGTAGGATCCAATAGAAAAGACAAAACTATAGCAACTAAAACAGACCAGTGGTTACCAGTGGTTGGGGTGGGGGTGGGGCAACATGAGAACTAATGATGTAACTATGAAATCTGGTTGTAATAGTGATAGGATTCAATCTTTACACGTGTTACACCAAAAAAGTCGATTTCACTGYATGCTAATGTTTTTTAAAAAATAAAATAAAAAACGTGTTTGAGCTGCAAACCATGATTCGATGCATGAGTAAAAGAGAGGCTGGCAAAAGGAAGACAAGGGAGAATGCTAAGTCCTACTGGCATAAAAAGCCATTACTCAAAAGAACTTCCTGATCACTGCACAAAATATACAAAGCAAACCCAATCTTCAGAAATTTATTCTCAGAACAGGCTAACTACTCATTCAGATCCAAAATGTGTATATTTGAAAATGCCAGTGAATGGATCTTCTTGTCTGTTTCCATATTTTACACTTTGAAGAAGCTGCCAATTTCTCCTGGCTGAGTGCCACTTTCCTTGCTTGGGGTTACTCAATTTACAAGTATCCCTTTATGTATACCTTACACTCTTAGTGAGGAGGTCTTTGGCAGCCACAAAAACAAAGGCAAAAGCAATAGCTTTTGCAAGGTGCCAGAAAGAATCAGTACTCCCCACCCGGAACAAAGTCCCCCCCTGCGGGTCAGAACACACCCTCTCGGCTAGTTCCAGGTCTGAGGACGCTGGGTGGGGAGGTCTTCACAAGTTAGAAAGCTTGCCTCACCGCCCAAGCCTCCCCAAGACGACCAGTGGAGGCTGGGCTCTGGGGMGTTTTCCCCCTCCCTCAACTGCCCTGGCGGCGCAGGTGCAGCTGGTCGTTTGAAGGACTGCCCCGTGTGGAGCTGTGGGTTGCAGAGGGTCCTGCCCAGCGACCCTGGGCAAGTCCCGTCCTTTTGCCAAGTAAGGTGGAAACTCTGGGAAAGTCGTCTAAAGGACCCTACCCACCTCCATCTCAGAGTCCAGAACTTTCCGAGCCCCTCACGCCAACCGGGAATCAGACTCGCCCCTCACAGACCCCATCCCAGCCCCTCCCAGCTCACTGGGAGCCCCACGGGAACTAACACGCCCGCCCGAAGGCTCTCCCCCAAGGCGAAAAGGAAGCAGAAAACGCCAAATCCCGGTCTCGGCCCACGCCGCCACGCGGAGGCCTCTGGGTGGCACCCGGCCCGAGGCCGCCCGCCGGGTCCTGCTTCCACCCCGGAGGTGGCGAGGGCGCCCACCTTGAGCTGGGATTTGGAAACTTTGCCGCTGTGGTCCAAGTCCAGCGCGGTGAAGGCGTGCCAGATGGCCTTAAGCAGCTCGTCCTTCAAGCCCCCCATGGCTGCTGCCCTACTGCCCGAACTGCCCCACACCTCCCAGCCTGCGCGTCGGCCCCTCAGCCACTCTGCCGCCCCTCCGCCGCAGCCGCCCGCCTGGGGTCACCTGACCGCAGCAGGCCCCGCCCSCCGGCCCCGCCGGCCCCGCCCACTCCGCCGACTGCCTGGGGCTGGGCTGCCAGGCGGGCATGTCTGCTGACCCGCCCCAACGGCAGTTGGACAGTAAACACCCTCCYGAATCTCTGTAGTTGGTTCCCAGGACAGTTTAGGCCATTTTCAGTGCTTTCATACCCCGCAAAACAATGCGCCCACCCAGAGGAAAAATTGGAGAGGTGAGATGAGTGAGCAGCCTATCCAGCCCGGCTTGTGTCCCGCACTGAAAAGGGGAGCCCTGGTCCTGCCCAGGATGGTGTCACTGTCTGGGGAGGTCAAACAAGGCCCCGAAAGGCCTCGGACAGAGCTTCAAATGCTAGCTGCGTCCAAAATTAGGAAGGATGAAGAGGAGGAGGGGAAGCAGGGAAGGTCCTCTAATGAAAGTTGGTTCATTCTTATTGTTTTGCAATTGCATATTGATGTCTATCCTGTAGTGGGCTCTGGGAGCCACAGAGATGGTTTTCAAGGTGAGTTAATAAGTCAATGGGTCACTGCCCCTACTAGAAGAAAAAAATAGGTCCAAATCTATCCCGACAAGGTTCCTAAAGCACAAGAAGTAAAATTTAAAAATCAATAAATGGGATTTTATCAAACTAAAAAGCCTCTCACAACATAGGAAACAATCAAGAACACGAAGAGAGCCTACAAAATGAGAGAAACTCTTTACTACCTACACCTCATATAGAGCATTAAGCCCCCAGGATATATAAAAAAAATCAACACCAAAAAAAAGAGAAAAAAACCCAATCAATAAATGGGCAAAGGAACTGAACACTTTGTTGACCATATGAATGGTCAACAAATATGTGAAAAAATGTGCAACACCACCAGCAATTAGAGAAATGCAAATTAAAACTACACTGAGATTTCATCTCACTCCAGTCAAAATGGCAATTATCAAGAATACAAGTAACAATAAATGTTGACAACAATGTAGGGAAAAATATACACTCATATACGGCTGGTGGGACTGCAAATTTGTGCAACCGCTCTTGAAAGCAGTAAGGAGATTCCTCTGAAAACCTAGAATGGAACCACCGTTTGACCCAGTTATCCACTCCTAGACATATACCCAAAGGACTTAAAATCAGCGTACTATAATGATGTGGCCACACATCAATGTTCTTAGCAGCTCAATTCACAATAGTTAAACTATGGAACCAACCTAGGTGCCCTTCAACAGATGAATGGATAAAGAAAATGTGATACATATTCACGATGGAATATTATTCAGCCATGAAGAAGAATTGAATTATGGCATTAGCCAGTAAATGGATGGAACTGGAGGCTGTTGTGCTAAGTAAAATAAGCCTCAAAAACCAAAGGCCAAATGTTCTCTCTGATACCTGGATGCTGAATCACAATGGGGAGGGGGGGGTGAGTAGAGGTTCACCAGATTGGGGAGGGCATGGGGAGAAAGAAGGGCGGATGGGAATGCAAAAGACAGTAGAATGAGTCGGACATAACTTTCCTATGTTCATATATAAATACACAACAGTGTAACTCCACATCATGTACAACCACAAGAATGGGAAGTTATATTCCATGTATGTATGTCAAAATACAGTCTACTGTCATGTATAAGTAAAAAGAAAAAAATTAATGGGTCAGGCAACATTTTCTTGCTAACTCCCAGCTGTTGACAGTCAGTTCACATCTTAGGAAGGGTTTGACTGGTGTAATGCTCTTTCTGGTGTTTCTGTGCTTGCCTAGTAGGAAATCTGGGAGGACCACAGCAAATCACGCYACCCATTTTACTAATCTGAATGGGATGGCCACTTAAAAGAACATTCAAACCTAGGAGAGTGTCCTTATGAATGTAGCCATTCAATTCATACCTGTTAACAATAGTCACTTGAGCTCTTTGATTCTCTTAGATTCTCCACATATAAAATAAAGGTTACTCCCCATGCTAGCATCTTAGGATAATTATTGCCAGTGACTCCTATCTGATTTAATTACCAAAAACACTGCCTCCTCTCCAGTAAACAAATCTGAGCAATATGGAAGGAAGAAAAACTGCCAGGAGTTTTTAAAAAGAGATGTGATTTTCTCTTTTTAAAATTCCTTAATGCTAGGCTGGGAATATAGCTCAGTTGGTAGAGTGCTTGTCTTGCATGCACAAGGTCCTGGGTTMAATCCCCTGTACCACAAACAAACAAAATTCCTTAATGCCGCCAGGTTCAGTGGCACACATCTGTAATCCAAGAGTTTTGGGAGGCTGAGATAGGAAATTGCAAGTTCCTGGCCAGCCTAAGTGATGTAGCAAAATCTTGTATCGAAATAAAAAATAAAAAAGACTGGGGATGTAACTCAGTGATAAAGTGCCCCTGGGTTCAATCCCCCATACCAAAAATAAATTTAAAAAATTCCTTAATGCACACATATATACTGTATTGTAAAAAAGAAAAAAAAAGGAAAAGATTATTACAAGAAAAGAAGATTTGAAAAGAGCAGAAAAAGAAGGAAATGTGAAAGGTGTCAATGAGTTTAAGGTCAAAGAGAGCAGAGAAAAAGATGGCCCAATAGAAGAGAAGGGGCAATCAAAGAGACAGTCAGCCCCTCACTGTGACATCCCTGGAGGTACTACCCCACTTCATCAGGTCAGGACACTTCTTGGCCTGCCAGCTCTGTTGTCTCTTCTTTTCTTCCCCAACTCCAGCCAAAGTCTGCCAGTCGGCAAAAACACCTATTTTAACTTCTCATTTCTTCATGCTAACTCAATTTACCCCAGGTAGTGACAAAAAAGAAATCCTCCTACTTCTCAAAGTTCAGCTTAACCACTAGATGACACTCCTCCTTCTCTCTGTGTCAGAAAGCACTAAATGTATTTCAAAACCTTTTTTAATCACAGGGACATCCGAACTACTTTTACCATAATCCCTGTATTTAAAAGTCCAAACAAAAAAAAAAAATTTTTTTTTTGGTACCAGGGATTGAACTCAGGGGCACTCAACCACTGAGCCACCTCCCCAGCCCTTTTTGTATTTTATTTAGGGACAGGGTCTCACTGAGTTGTCTAGTGCCTCACCATTGCTGAGACTGGCTTTGAACTTTCGATCTTCCTGTCTCACCCTTCCAAGCTGCTGAGATTACAGGCATATGCTACCATGCCCAGCCCAAAAAAATTTTAAAGCAGTTTGATATCATGGAAAGAGCAAAGCTTTTTTTTCTAAATATTTTTGTAGATGTTGATGAACCTTTATTTTACTCATTTATTTATATCCGCTGCTGAAATTTGAACCCAGTGCCTCACACGTGCCAGGCAAGCACTGTACCACTGAGCCACAACCCCAGCTCCCAGAGTTTTTGAATCTAACAGATTATATTGGTTTTGTTTTGCTGTGTCACCAATTAATCTAAAATGAGCATCTTAAAAAATAATAAACATGGGGCTGAGGTTGTGGCTCAGTGGTAGAGTGCTCACCTGGCATGTTCAAGGCCCTGGGTTCGATCCTCAGCACCACATTAAAAAATTAATTAATTAATTAAAGATATTACAGATAATAATTAATAATAAGCATTATCTCATATTTTCTGTGATCATTATGTGAAACTATGCTGGTGCTAGAGAATCTGTATTCAAGTTATTTTGTTCCTGCCACAGTGGTGCACAACTATAATCCCAGCGACTTTCAAAACCAGCCTCAGCAATTTAGGGAGGCCCTAAGAAATTTAGCAAGACCCTGTCTCAAAATAAAAAACATAAAGGACTGGTTCAGCCAGGTGCAGTGGCACATGCCTGTAATCCCAGTGGCTTGGAAGACTGAGACAGGAGCAAAGCCAGCCTCAGCAATGTCGAGGTGCTTAGCAGCTCAGTGAGACCTGTCTCTAAAAAMAATACAAAATAGGGCTGGGATGGGGATCAGTCGCCCAGTGCCCATGAGTTCAATTCCCCATACCTAAAAAAAGAAAAAAGTACCAAAGATTCAGCATCTTGTTACTCCACATGTCCTGCAATACAAATGCTCTGAAGAAACAGTATCCTGAGGGGCTGGGGGTATAGCTCAGTTGGTATAGCGCTTGTCTTGCATAGCCCAAGGCCCTGGGTTCAATCCCCAGCACCAAAAAAAAAAAAAGAAAAAGAAAAAGAAAAACAGTATACTAAGAAAAACAAGAATAAGACTGTAGGAAATGCCAAATTTTTGGCCAAGAGAATGAAGGAAGCCAAAGAAAAACACCAGGAACAGGTTGCTGAGATGTAGACTGTCCTCTCTGAGAGCTTCAAAAATAAGAATTTTCAAAAGTAACAAATAGTAATTCCAGCAACTCAGGAGGCTGAGACAATTGCAAATTTGAGGCCAGCCTCAGCAATCTGGCAAGGCCCTAAGCAACTTGGCAAAACCCTGTCTCAAAATAAAAAGTAAAAAGATTTGGGGATGTAGTTCAGTGGTAAAGTGCCCCAGGGTTCAATCCCCAGAATAATAATAATAACAACAACAACAACAATACAAATAAATAAAATCAGATCTTTAAAAAAGAAGAAAACAGGCATGGTGTTGCACACCTGTAATGAAAGTGACTTGGGAGACTGAGGCAGGAGGATGGCAAGTTCAAGGCCAATCTCAGAAATTTAGCTAGGCCCTAAGAAACTTACCAAGAACTAGACTCAAAAATTTTCAAAAAGGGGCTGGGGATGTGGCTCAAGCCGTAACTCGCTCGCCTGGCATGCACGGGGCACTGGGTTCGATCCTCAGCACGACATAAAATAAAATAAAGATGTTGTGTCTGCTGAAAACTGAAAAATAAATGTTCTCTCTCTCTCTCTCTCTTTAAAAAAAATTTTTTTAAAGGACTAGGGATATGGGCTATGACTGAAGCGCAGTGGCAGAGTGCTTGCCTAGCATGTGTGAAGCACTGGGTTCAATCCTTAGCATTGCATTAAAAAAAACTAAACAAATAAAGGTATGTTGTCCACCTACAACAATAAAAAAATAAAAAACAAAATA